CACGCGCTGTTGACATGCCTCGACTTACTTCGGTGTTAACGACTGTACAGTTATCAAAACTGAATATCCCCCTACCACTCGCCGCTACCGTAGAACGCACTTTCGGAAGGAGAAAGCAGTAGCACCATAACAGGATCACAAATAGACGACTAGAGGCTTAGAGTGTGGGTAAGGGAATCTGAAATGCGGCGACATGCACCAGTAGCTCGGCGCGCGCGGAAGTTGCTACGATTGACTTTCGCGTCATATCAATTAAATTTTGGTGCGAATGCCGCGCACGCGACGCCACTTGCAAGGCCTCCTTCGCCCTTCCTCCACATCTAGGACTCCTCAGTCCGGGCACTTACTGTTGAGTGAAATTCGTGCGAGGGTACGATGCCCTGCCCTCGAAGGTCCCTCCTCTGGTAGGACCGCTCATCCTACCATCTTCCCACATTTATCCCAGCTGCACCACAAACCTTTCCTGCTTTCCCCAAAAAACTCCCATCGAGCGGAACGAGGAGGAGGGAAGCATATAGCGTACATGAAACGGGGAAGACCGAGAAAGTCAGTACTCGAAAACAATTGTTCTCATTATCAGAAGCAAAAACGAGACCCCTCCCTCCAGCAATTAAACACGACCCCCCTCACTGAGGATCCCAAACGTTGATGTACCCTGTTCCCGACCCATACCGGGAGCTCGATCCTAATGAATAGCAGAATAGTTAGATATAAAAGATAATAAAACAACTTACATATATCAATTCTGGATACTTCTCCAAGCGGAAAGAGATGTACTCACACAACCAAGTACCATCGCGAAGATTGGCGCACAACGGGTGACCAAGGTCATTATTTTCACGAATTCGATTCAATAGGGGAATTAGACCTAGGCCAGCAGTTCTTCAGGAAGAATGCCGAAAACCACTTTATGAAAGGGTATTTTTACCGTGCAGGCCACAGTAAACTAATTGGCCAAAGTTTGGGATGTTATATGCGCCATGGCCAATTGATACTTTTTCTTCTGCATCGGTTGTGAAGAACAAATGATGGAAGTCCTGTAGGGTTATGGAATCCAGCACAAATGCCAACTCTAAAAACAGACAGATTGATAGGAAGAATGATAAAGGCTCATTCTTTCAGGTCGTAATGGACGGCGTTACGCGAACTATTACGCCATCCCCCTAATGAAGGAAGCGTAACGGTTCAATGACTCCGCCCAAACTACCAGCGTAGAATGCGCCTTTCGAGCCCCTTGAACATTCTGTGACCTCATCCTTCAAACAATGAGTAACCTTTTTCGAGTTCAGCATTTCCCGCAATGACCGCTCTAAGCGTGCCAATGGACGTGCGCGCCTTGTCCGAGAGTCGAATTCTGAAAATTTCTCCATCAGGACGCAGAATAAATAATATAATTGAGATTATGACGCACTTGAAACCAATGACCGAGCCACTCGGGAAGTTTGTGAGTTCGATGTGACCATTCACAGTTCCATGGACGACACACATATTGGCTTTATCTGGTGAGATATGTTGACGAATGTGGACCTTGTAGTTAGTGAGTCCCGTTAAAACGTCGGGATTTTCTGAAAAAAAGTCCTGCCTCAGAAATTTTCGCAAGAAAGACTAGTTACACTCAGGAATAAGCCATGCATTCGACTCCGAATTCAAGGTTTGCTGAATCGTGAGCTCGAACTACACGTACGACTCGCCGAAGGTAAGCGAGTGTAAAATCGAATCCCTCTAATCCTCTTGATTGTGCCTGGTACCGCAATACCTGACCAGGGAAGGGTAAAGGATGTCTCAGGTTGTAGGAATTATATGATGGTTTCTTTACGATTACTCAAATCTTAGAACGGCCTTCATTACAAGACTTGGAGTTGACTGGATTTGAAGGACTCGAACAACTTTGAACAGTAAAGTAAACGAATGCTTTAGAGTCACATGAACAACTAACTCATCCGAGACTGAACTCGCATTAATTGGTGCTACCTCCATCGAGCGCCTTACCTATCTCGGTCAGCTGAAAAAAAATCATGGAAGCACTGGGTTATTTGAATCACTTCATTCCATTGAAGGCATAAGCCACGACCATTTGGTACTCGATCTAGAATGGTAGTACCGGTGCTATCCAGTGGGAATGGGTGCTATTTAGTGGAAAAATGGCTGAAAAAAAAACGAATGTGAAAACCGTTCAAAAACCTGCGAAGAGAACCACGGTCTTCTTTTAAGGGAGTGAAAAAGCATTCGGAAGAATTTTCTGCCACCTATGTACCAATAGTCCGATTACAGCAATCGCGGCGTTTCATAGCAATATTTTCGCTCGTTATTTTGTGTACCTCGCAAATGGTCACTAAGTAATCAGATACCGGTTCTCCCATTATGGGCTAGGCGCCGGTGGGCGTTTGGGTCGGACGTATTGTAGCTGTGATAGGGTCATATAAGGGTAGTGGAAGGCACATACGCAGCGCTTGCCTCAGGGGTGCGGAATTCAGTCCTGCAGTAGGCATTAAATCCCTACTCGTCTTAGGGATTAGCGTGCAACTGCCTTTAAGCAAAAGCGAAAAGAAGAAGTGACTCTAAGAGTTTAGAGTGCCCCTGACCAACCCTGGATTTCAGTTCAGTGATCCCTCGTCAACCGCATTTAAATAGAATGTCCTCCAGAACCCCTATAACAGCATTTTATCACGTCCCTTTCGGCGAGCAGAGCATAGAAACAAATTGATAGATGAATAAGTTAATAAATAAACAGATAAATAAATAAATAAGTAAATAAATAAAATAAATAAATAAGTAAATAAATAATGCTTTATGGTCAACCTCCGATTGGGATGTGTTTCAGGTAGACACGATCTTTGTTGATTTGATGTTTATTGAAAGCCGTATGAGACACCACAACCACAGTATCGTGCGTAATTGGGTTATGCCTCGTAATTCCAACAACGTCTGGACTCATTTGGTCAACAAAAACCTGCAAAATACCAATGAAATAGAGAACGATAGCGCAAAAGGAACCCAAACTGTAAATGACTTCTACAAGGGCAGATTTTATGAAGCTGACCTGTGTATAGTTCGCCTTGGCCAATGAGAGATGTAATTCGTTGAGAATACGCCGAGCTTCAACTATTCCACTGTTAGAATTCGTCTCACTGCCCCATTTAGCATAGGGACGCTTTTCTTGGACGACGTGGATCTGAAACTCGGCAGTCCGAAACCTTGGCTAGGATTCTGAAGACGAACCCATCCTTTAACCTCCTCCCCCTCAACAACTATGGAAATGAGGCGGAAAAACGGTACCTTATTCCTGACAAGCTCATCATATCCCCTCACCGAGCCGGCAGCACACGATGCCATAGATATCATAGCGGCTGTGGGCAGCATATCGTACACCGAACGTCGCTGGAAATGTGTTTAAGATGAGACAAAGGCACATTCCACGATGGCTTTGTGGGCGGAGTTGGGCTATCCATTGTGTCGCTACATTCTAATATGTCTTCTGTTCCAACACGATAAACAAGCCCTGCGAGAGCATAGGAAGTCCTTCGGTAGGGTCATCGAGCCACAATGGGTTTATCCGCTCGCCGAGACAATCAAGGCTATTTTCACTCGTTTCAATGGTGCCGTCGAAACGTTATAAAGTCTAATTTTGCAAAAATTCTAACCTTTGTTGGTTATACATTTGGAATTTTGTTTGGCCTATCAACGCCCCATTAGTGAAATATACCGCTTGCGGATTGAGGTTGGAGACCTGATGTCTCGGGAGACC